TCCAGGAAGAAAAGAGCAATATCGACCACATAGTTCAGCACCTGAATTTGACTGAACCTCGTCGCTTATTTTTGCTTTGGCACCACAGCGCCACTTACAGGCCTGGCATACATTTTGCAGCGTTTTCATGCATTCGTGTGGACGCTCACATTTATTTTACGTCTCCGTCTTTACGGCAAACGTTTTGGAAAATATCAGCGTTTCGTGTTCGTTTTGACTTCGTGTGGACGGGGCCTTACTAGCAGAAAAGTTAGAACCTGAAAGCAGTAGTAAAATTATTTACCAAGTAAGTCTGAAAAAACTGGACATGGCATTTCGATGACATCCAGAAAAGTGAATAATTTGTGGGGTTCTGGAAATATTTCATGTTCTAACACTTCATCTCATCTTTGTTAATATACTGTGACCTCAGCGCCGCAGCCTCACCTCCTTCCCACCAGCCAAACACAGCCTCCTGACAGCTACCCCCACCCTGGATTAGCTCACCCTCCCACTGTGTACACAACACCCAATCCACAGAGCGAGGGTGGCCTAAAGAAAACCCACTGTTTCCTCGGCTCTTTGGTCAAACGCGTATTAAATAATCACTAATGTTACAATCACAGGTCTTACTCAATTAGCCTCCTGCTGACAGGCTCAGCTCTCTGTCGGCTTTCCCCTCCGTTATCCCTTCACGGTCCCCGCAGGAGGGAGAACGAGCCTCTGGGTTCCTGCCCACAATAATGAATGCTAATGAAATCGATAAATGTTCATAATCGTTTGTCACAGTGGGATCCTTTTCTTCAAGCAATCAATCCACCTGGGGATCTCCTTGCTCTTGTTCTCTCCTCAGGCTGGTTAGGATCCACTCAGAATGAATGGCTGGTCTGTCTGGGAAAATTTGGCCCTTTGTGGAAGCCTTAATGGCCAAAAAAAGCAGAAGACATGAAAGGCAGTAATTAATATGGAGCCAAATATTTCCAGAGCAGCCCTCTCTTTTCCGTTTCTTTATGAACGAATGAGGAGGGAAGGAGAGAAGGAGAAGCTGTTAAAGAGCTGGTAGTTCTAGTTATTAGGACTGCAAAGGGCTTTATTAGTTTACATGGGAACCAACTATGTCCTTAAAAGTAAATGAGTGACAAAGTTGAAGCCCCCAGTGTGAGCCTCTCCCTGCTCACACCTCAACGCAAACAGCTTTAATTTACAGAGACAGTATCTGTCGGGTACAAAAGAGCTGGGCCCGCAGAAAGACAGGTTTCGGAGGGGCCAAATTCCTGATGGATTTTCTCGCCTCGCCTCGGGCCAGCTGCAAGGAAAATATCTCTGGAAGAGAGTGGACAAGCCAGCAAAAACAACTTGCTGACCTGCCCGAGTCATCATTTATGGGTGTTGGAAAATGTGGCCCAAACAAAATTCAGGTTCATTTGCCTCTAACTATCAAGGGGAATACTTCTGTGATCCTTGTTTGGCACCAGGAATACTTAATGAAATATCTACAATGTTTAACGATGGGGGGGGGGAAATCTATCTGAGAGCAAGATTCATGTAAAAAAAACAGCCGTTAGCTGTACAGGAATATAAATTAAACTGGAGGTATAACTGAGTATTTATTCAAATAAAAGCATTAATAGTTTAATAGTATTTTTAAGTGAATTAATAAATTAAACTGGAATAAATAAAGCTTTATAAAATAATTTTATAAAAAACCAAAGACATTAATTTAACTAGAGAGAATATAATGTACAAACTATGGAACATGTAATAGATACATTAGGTGTATAAAAAGACTAAATCTAACAATATCGATAAATATAATTCATTATTACATCAGAAAAAGAATCTAATTTATCTGAAATCCATTAAATGAAATTTTTTTTTATAAATAAATAAACTATTAAAAATTAGACAAATACATGCTTTTATCAGTCTGTTGACCATATTCATATGTCAAAAGTGGTAAGTGCATATGGTAATAGAGTCCAATATTTATTATTATTTTTTTTTAATTTACAGCTGAAGAGGAGCCTGTATCAGAAATGGTCCATGACATTCAGTCCTGTGTTGTTTAAATGTGATCTGATGGGCCATGGCCTCCAAACATAGCACCCCTTTCCTTAAACAAATTGCTTAATTTTCCGCAACAAATGCTTGTCATATAAGGACAACATGCTCTGGGTTTTTCTCCCTGTCTCTCTTTGAACCGCATCCCAACACTCATGTGACCTCTCCTGCCCCAGAACACCATGGCCAATCCTCCTTATAATCCCCTTTCCTTGTGGAGCTAACCGGGTCACCACGCCTGTGAGGAAGGTCCAGGAGTCTGTGGCTGGGCATGAAGAAAGAAGGAGACAACTATATTACCCAGCAGGGGAAAGCTAACGAACAGCACCCCCGACGCCACCCACAACCAAACAGAAGAGGTCAAACTCCGCCGAATCAGGCACAGAGAGGAGATCCAGTATCTGCAGCTGCCGGGTCACTGAGGCAGGAGATAAATCCTTCAGAGCAACAACAGAAACATCTCCTTTCATTAATGTGATGGCAGCTGGCTTTAAAAACAGGAAGGGTTGACCTTTTAAAATGTTTAACTGAATATTCCTTTCAAATTTAGGGAGTGATGAGTAAACTTTTTCACATTTTCTTTTAGTTTTTTTTTTAGAGAGACCTGATAATTTCTTATCAATAAGTCATTTTGTCAAATCAATAAAATGATAAATACATGAAATCTATATCATGAAAAGCATATCATTAGGCAGTCTTTTGTCTTACCTTGGTGTTGAAGCCCATTGCATTCTGGGAGGTTTTGTAAAGTTCTGGGTATTTCAGCATATTTTCTTTCCTACAGGAGCGCTCAAATATTCCCAAAGTAAGAGGTGGTAAGGCAGTAAAGATCTACAGGAAAAAGCAAAACAAGGAATATCAAAATTCAGTTTCAAAAAGCGTAAATGAATACGCGATATTAATGCAGAGATAAATGCTCTGATCACAGGAATTCAGTTGATTTTAACCTTGATCCTCCCTGACCAGTAACCAGCTGAGTTAAAAAAACTAAGTTGTAGGAAATCTAAACAAAAACATTCTAGACAAAATAAAATCCAATAATATACACGATGTATGAAGATGTAAAAGAGGGGAGAAGTATAAGCTGTATTGTATATGATGAACTCTAGCCTAAATGGTGATCAAAAAAGACTTGTGTGATGCTGATTGAAGCACGTAGCGCATCTAATTTTCCAGTTGGGGACGCAAATGCAGAGAAAAGACAGTCCTGTGATCCCCTGGCAAATTTATCCTTCAACTCTTCTCTATTCAACTCACAGAAACCATCTTGGAAAAAGTGTGTTGATAAAACCTTATACAAGCAGGTGATCACATTCTTATTAAACATATGAAGTAGCTCAATTACCAGAATAGCAAGAATGCGTGAATCAAAAATAATGATAAGAATGTAAACCTGTTCAAGATGTGTGGCCATTTTTTGCTACATTTCATCATCATGGCACATGATGATTCTTTATCCAGCCTGATTTCTTTATTTCCTTATTTTTCTGCGTTGATATCTACAACCTTGTTTATCTTCTTTTTGGTTTTATTTCTTATATCGACCAATCACAGCTAACAAAGTTTTAGGCTTTCTGCGCCCATCATTTGGAAGAAATTACAGTCTGAACTTCACATTCAATAATTCAAAAATGTTTCACAAAACATTTCAATCAATTATGTCTGTGTGTAAATGTTTTAAGAGAGAATTTCTGCAAGATCTGAACAGTTATTCCTGTTACACTTCGTATTGATGCCTTTGCCTCTTATGTAAATTATAAGCAACATATATCTATTTTTGTTTTTTGAGTTTTTACGGCACTAGTGGCTTGTTTTTTAGACAGCAGCTGACAGGAAACTGGGTATGAGAGAGGGAGAGACATGCGGGAAAGGACCACAGGCCGGATTCAAACCCCATCACCCGCGTCAAGGACTAAGGCCTCTGTACATGGGTCGTGCACGCTAACCACTGCGCCACCTGCACACCCCAAAACCATATATCTTTAATGTTGTTCTTATAAATTGTTATAGTTCACGTCAGACTTTACAAAAAATGTGAGATTATTCTGTTTGGTGCATTCATGGTTTATAACTAATTTCAGTTTTTAACTAATGACAGATGACTGTTTTGATTCTTCCCCATACCTCCATATGTTTCATTTACTGGAAATTTGTTTCAGTCTGTTCTCCAGTTGCACTCTGCTTAAGTCTGATAATGGAAGACCACTGACCTTGAACCCTTTTGGGGTTTGTTTTGATTGGTCACGGTTTCAGTCTGTTCATATGCAAAAACCTATCGCCCAATAAACATCTGTGAAAATCTGGACCAAGAGGCAGGTATTTAAATCTGGCTTAAGTGTAATTTCTTAGAGATGTTGTAATGTTCTATGTAGCAGCTGCTAAAGGAGAGCAATGGTATTGTGTAGCTAAGAGGGCTCAGTGGGCCTGTTGGTGGGAGATGACTGCAAGCCCATCTGGAGGGGGAGTTTGCAGGCTTCAGGTTTGCAGGACTTGCAGGCCACAGGACACGCTCCATTGGGTTCCCTTTCTTTTTCACAGCCAGGCCCTGGAAGACTTCTATTGAAGGGCGGATTCAGGCCAATGCATCTAACAGACTCCCACTCAGGCAAAGGATTTCTCCAAGTTTTTAAGATTCAAAAAGCTCTACTGTATCCCCCCCATTTAAACATCAATGGTCATTTGAAATGGTGGTTTATTATGTCACTAAAAAAAGAGCCAGAACTATTACAGTTCAAGTTGTAAATTGTTTCCATATTTTGTGAACATTTCTCATTCTGAATGGAGCTAAATACGAGTTATTGTAGAGTTAACAGCACATTTTTATCCATTTGTTTAATTGATGAGAGATATGACACATGAGCTCATTAGGAGTGGCCCTGTTATTGCGCCCTGTGGGACTCCCAAAATCAGCTCACTTGCCGCTCCAGTCTTCCCTTTCTTTTCATCGTTCAAACGTAGCTGATCTGAATAACTGTGCTCCTTGGCGAAAGCAAAGCTGTTATTCTTTCACATTCAGCACATAGCTTGGGGCACAGAGGGAATACAGAGTTGACATCTGGTCATAAATAACAAAGAGATTTCTCAGGATGTAAATGCCACACTCTAGCAAAGAACGGATCATTTGTGGCGTACCAGAGCTAAAATGTTTGGTGTCAAAGAGAGGATCAGGTAGAGGTGAAAAGTGGTGTCTTTAGAGAATAAAAGTTCCCAACACTCACCACATTATACAAGCCAATGCACCAGCGTTCGAAGAGGATCTGCCCAGAGAAGCCATTGACAAATGCAAACCAGATCTGTAATATATAAAAAGACTCACATTAAAATGCAGGAAAGTAAAATAACAGAAGATGACATGCATTGGCTTTAGTCCAAAACATTCCTAAAACTCTTTCCTAGTACAAGCATTTAAAGCTGTAAAACATAATAATTTTAGAGACTGATTTTTCCATGATCAGTTGTAACATTAGACTAGACTTCTTAATTGAGAAATATGTATTTACAATCTACAATACAATTCAGCAAACATATTACAAGCTGTTAAAATTTGAAAAAATTAAAACTTAAATGAATAACAAAATAAAATACAGAGTTGTTTAAATCAAGTCAAAACGTAATAAAACAACTCTTATATTTACTTTTATTGTCTAAACTTTACTAAATTCCGTTTAACACAGTTTTAAAATGAACATTTCCATTGCATAAAGTGCAGCAGTGATCAAATGTAAACAGTGTGGGAGGAAAAAAAACATCGTGCAAAAAAACCCATTGATTTGGAAGCTCAGAACAATAATACTGTATATATATGGTGCAAATATGCAGTATTTTTGGTTTGATGTTATCAGTGTGATGCAGAGTTTGTGACAACTCAGGATGATCTTTAGCCTTCCTGTGCTTACTTTGCAGGCTTAAGCCCAGTAGGACCTAAAGATGATATCAACACCTGTACTGCAGGTGAAAAAATTGGCGACCACCATGGCTGAAAAATATAACTATATTTATATATATATATATTATATTATATTATATTATATTATATTATATTATATATATATATATATTTAATATCATAGTAAATATACATTTTGTTATTGGGGAAAAATAAAGGTTGGTATCAAACATACAGCAGCTAATAACAAAAACACAATTTTGATTGTTTTACAGATAGAAAATTTCTCTGAGGACAAAAACTAAAAATAACTATGTTCATTGTTTTTTTTTTTTCAGAAAAAAAAAAAAACACACACAAGGTAAATAAGCACTTTACCAACTCATGTTAGCCTGTAGGGGAAACGACACATCTCTTACTGGAAAGCTGTTCCTCGAAGCTCAAAGCCTTAGTAACAAGTAATAGAAACAAACCAATGATATAAACTCCTTTAAACTGTAAAAGAACTCAGAGGAGCTAGGAAATTCCTGACTTCATATTATAGTGACCTCTGTTCAAGAAGTCCAACCTTGTAAATGTTGAATAAAAATTACCTAATTTATGAATTAGTAAATAAAGGCGGGTTAGTTTCAAATGCTGCCCTGGGATCAGCATGTCATTAGTTGGACATGACCGAATTCCTTCAAAATTGATGAGGATCTAATGAGGAAAAAGTCTTCATCCCCTCAATGATCATCATGGGCTTATATCTAAACTTAAATCCACAGCTTTACTCTGCTCTACCTGACAACATGTGGGTGACAGATGATGTTAGCTACACTGCTTAAGCGACTTAAGTAATCTGAATGAAGCACACAAAGGTAATGCAAACCAGCTGTTGGGTAGAAATCAGAAAATAACCTATAGTTATATGTGAAGGTAGCAAATAAGGTTTAGAAAATCTAGGGGCAAAGAGGGGTACTCTAAAGTTCAGCCAAACTGAAAACCCATGGAAGCTATGATCAGAAACTGCACCCCAAAGTGTTGAAGCTTGACATTTCATGATCCAGGACAGGCTTTAGCTGCTGCCAGAACTGTCAAGTAAACATAAAGGAAGCTGTGTTTTGGCCATGGCCTACCAGGAATTTCCTCGCTTCATTTAACGTCATTATGGAGACATGAACTGCTACAAATTCTCAAATTGGGACAAAGCTTGCTTGACGGCCCCTCCTTTTGCTTCCATCGATGCCTGCACGACCAACAGCAGCCTGCCCGCTGGTCTTTACAGTTACTTGGGGTTAGCATATGAAAACAAACAGTGGGGGGCCGGTTGATAATTCCCGACTTTCATGTGTGCCCAGATTATTCCTTTCGTCTTCAGCCACGCCCACTAACAACCAATCCTCTATCATATTTTTGGGGCCCAACGTTAAATCACATGGGATGTTCCAATGAAAATGGAACCAGATGGCTTTCCATGCAAAGACAATAGGACCACAACCTCAGATGTTTTGGATCTCTGCTTATTTAGAATTGCATTCAGATGCCGTTGCTAGGAGTTATGAGGGGTATGGATGAAGCTCAAGTCATGAGGCAGGTTCAACTACGAGAATAGCTCAAGGGTTGGCACTGTGTGGCTTGTGGGTAGGTCAAACTGCTGAATTAATTACAGATCTGCTCAATAAGAGCCTCTGGGTCGATACATTGTTGAGCCAAGTTAAAAAAGCCTCCTATTCACATGGTGGGGTTGCTGCTTCTGTGTGAGTGCTTTGGCCTCGTCCTCGAGGCTTCTCTCTCTTTCTTGCTCTCCCAATCTCTTGAGGGACAGATGCATTGATTTGCTCATTAGGGGAAGTACAAGGCAGGATTTTACTTCCCCTTTTCTTCTCCTCATAGAGTGCCACTCAGTTGAGGGGTGTGGCTGGCCTCTCTCCCTCACTGCACATCATGAAAACATTGTTGGGGCCAAGCGAGAACTGAAGAGGGGGAAGAAAAAAAACTGGGGAACAAAAGACCAAGGAGTCTTGCATATTCATCAGCAAATGAAAAATCATTGATTCCGAGGTCGCTCCTCAGCGCTGCAGAGTTCTATAGGAGTTTCTGCCAGGAGGAGGTTGGGTGGGAATGACAGTATTCCCCTATACTTAGAGTCCTGATACTCTTAAGTTTGGCTCTGAAGAATTGCTAATGAAATTCATTCACAAAGAGAGAAAAAAACGGTGGCGATAAAGAGGGAGCTGATAAATATGCTGGAAATATGTGAAGCTTCAAACAGTGGTTGCATTACAATGCCAGCCTCTGTCTTCAACGATTAATTCAGTCCAAACTGGTCGGAAAGATTCCCTCCTCCACTCTGAGCATTCCTAAACCACAGTGATCATGGCTGAATGAGAGTTCTTGTAATTGCCTTATAGGTACCACTTGTCTATCATGTCCCTGAGCAGCAGTCAATCAAACAAGAGTGGCCACAAAGATCATGCATATGAATGGAGTTTCTATGGATCCTTTCACAAAGGTCCCACAGCTTTAAATTGGGTGAATTTAAAGCTTTTCATTGCTGTTCTTCATTCAGTAAATTACTTGTAAATTGTTCCAAAAGTCAAATTTGGGAACTAAACTTAAGGTCTGTTTAAACCAGTGTATTTAAAAAATACAGTGCCTTGTAATGATATTCAGATTCCTTGAACCTTTCTGCCTACAACTCATAAACTTTTATGTTTCTATTTTCCGTACCATGCTGACTAAAAGTGGTGAAAAATCCAAAGAAGAATAAAAAAAGAATAATTAAAATAAACAAATAGAATAATCTGAGGTTAACCTGACTAATATACACAACAGTCAAAACAAATGTCTAAAGTAGTCACCAAACTAGCAAAGTTTGCTTATGTGCATTTAGATCTCAAGGTTCTCTGGTGAAAATCAGCAAAAATGGCTTCAGGAGAACTAAAGCACAAATCAAACAGGTCAGGGATAAAACTGGGCTAATGTTTAAAGAAAAATAATAGATACAACCATTCCCCAAAATTCAAATATCTGTGGCAAGACCTAAAAACTTCCCATTCCTTCAATCTGAAGGAGACATACTCAAAAAGCCTAATTGTAGTAATAGTTAAAGAGCAAGTACAAATTCGGGGTAGATGAAAAACGGATTATTATTAAAAATGGTGTATTAGAAAAATTTCCCAAAATACATTTTAATTTAAGTTTTCATGTAAAACAGCATAAGGGCTAGCAAATCCCTTTATAGAGCTCTGTATTTTCATGTTAAACACTGCTATGAAGTCATGCGTGTTTCAGCAGGTTCACTGAAGCCAGAAACTCTGAAGTTGTTCTGCTGGTGAATGATCCTGATAAGAGACGGTCTTATGAAATCACAATCAACCGTTATAATTATAACTGAGGAAAAAAAAGATTATGCTTCAAACTATGTTCAAGACTTCAGCCTTGGACCAAGGGCCCCCAAGCCCAGCAACCAAATGTGATTTCTAGAGATCCAGGGGAAAGAGATGCAGATGAAAAGAGACTTAAGCAGCTGGTCTCCCTGGCCTAGCATTCAGGTTTGACCTTTTATTGTATGGGGCGTTAATGCAGAATTCGCATTAACAGTAAAAAAAAAAAAAAAAACTCTACCTTAAAGTCAGTGAAATATATCAGTTCGTGCAGCAAACATAGCTTTTAACATACCCTGGAAGAGAATTTGTGTTTTATGTCTACAGTAGATACTACAAAGATTAAAGAGTGGAGCTATCTGCTGGTATTTGTTTCAGACCCAGAAATGGGATGAAGTGGCAAATATTTCTAGTTTGCCCAAGAAAGTGCACTCAAACTGTAAATGTTATGTTTAGGTTTTGGTAAAAATCACTGTGACATGGAGCCTGGAGTGTTTCATATGGAAATCACACAACGAAAAGAGAAAAATGCACAGGTTTGGATTTGATAACAAATGTTTTGCCTATCAGATATCATGAATAGAAAGGCCAGAGATTTATATACGACCTGTAGACTTCTGACAACGAAAATATCCTTATCTCGTTTTTTATCCCATACATGAAGATATATGTTAGAACGGGTGGTGAAAGGCACAGATTAAAGTAATTTAATTTTTGAGCAAGACTGAAAAGTCAAAGGCAGAGTTCGTCATAAGTTAATCAACTTAGGCCAAAATCTAATTTATCCCTGGATTTCTGTGTATTATGTCTATTTAACCTGATCTTAAAAAAAGCAGAATAGTTGGAACAGATGTAATGGAAACATAAAGGACTAAGTTTCTTTCTCCCAGTCGCATTGACAATAAGAAGGCACACTCCAACGTCAAACATAGCAGACAGATTTTTAAAGGCATATAAACTTAAAATTTATCATATCATTTTCTGTCATCTTGAAAAAAAGCAATTCGTGGTTAAAGTATCTCAAAAGAAAAACACATAAAAAGTGCTACTATTTTATAGGCCTTTATTTAACGACTGCTTCTCATCTGCAAAGATGACAGAAAATGTCATGATAAATTTTTGTTTTATTCCATCCTTTGTCTTGCTTGAACTTAACAGTTATTGATACGTTCATCAAACTTTTCATCTTCAGCCATATTGCCATTTTCAAGGGAATGCTGCTGGATATATCAGTACTGTGGTGGGCATCAATCCTAATATTGATCTGAGAAAGCCGGGAGATGTCTGAGGAGATCAGAGACAAGATGATCTATACCCACATGGAAGGTAAAATGGCTTCTACCTGAAAGATGATTCATCATCATCCTGGGAAAACAGTTTATAGCATCATCAAGAAACATAAGGTTTATGGCATTACGCTCGATCTTCCATGAAAAAGACACAAGGTTGATCTTTGATGTAAAAATGGCACAAAAAGAACCAAGATGACCAAACCAAACAATTTAGGCTAAACCCGAAGGTTTATAGATTCCATTTACTAATTGTACATCTGTGCCATTTCGAACCACAATGAACTCCAAGGTAAACCAAAGGTGCTTAAGCCTTAAACCTACTGAAATATGAAAGATGCATAGGTTTTTAATGAGGCTTCATCTATAACAAAGCACCCTGAATCCAAGCATTTAAGTATTAACTTTTGTAAATCTCAAGTTATTTTAGGGGTAGCTGTGTTTGTGTTTATTATCAAAGGGTAACAACAGATTACTACTAGTAACAATAATTGTGTTCAGATAAGAACTGTACAAGATAAAGAATTAACATTCAGTGACTATTTCGCTCTAAATATGAAAACTTTAATGTAGGTTTCCAGGACAAAATGGATTAATGACGCAACATGAAAAGAAACAAGAAAGTGAGAGCTAAAGCTAAACCTCCAATACTGCGTTTCTGTATTTGAATATCATCAGTCTTTGAGACAGTGTGGTCAAACACTCAAAAGTGTCCAGGTTTGAATCTCAGAGGATACACAAATTGAAGAGTTGGAGGAAAAAAAACCCCACAAAGAATGGCGGCGATAAGAGCTGCTGGTGATTGCAGCTACTTAGCCTTCCTGGTGACTCTTGGCGATAGCTCTGAGCAGCTATCAGCTCTGAGCATGGTTTCTGTCCAATGCAATCAAACCCATCATACACAGTAGAACCAATACAGGGACTAACATGTCTAAATCTACCTAAAGCCTACTGACAACAGCGTGTTGTATTCCCAGCAGCAATGAACAGATTTAACGACTGGATGTTGATATGGTTGCAGTAACTGAGGCCAAGAGCAAAAGGACCAAAAAGGTAAATAATAAATTACTACTACATTTAGACGCAAAGAAACAAGTACAACAATCCAAATATGGCTTTATAGTAATTCCAAATTAAGCATTCCTCTATTAGCCAACTTTGAGATCCTTGCCTAAGTTAACATTATAATTGAATGTTGAATTCTCCGGATCATGAAAGAACTTAATAAAAAAAACAGGCAGATTCAATTTACCTTGTCCAAATGGTCAATTAACAGAAATATAAACCATAAAAACTAAAAGAGAATGGTATCTGTTTGTCATTAGCTCAATACTTTTTACATTAATCTTTGCAGTATTTTGTAACTTGGAAAGATAATTTGTTAGACTTACCTCAATGATATAGAGAACAATGTTCTTGTAGAAACAGTACAGGATGCACTTGGCTACGCGGTTGTAATTCCAGGCTCCATGGACGAGCAGCAGATTCTTCAAGTACTTGAACTGTGTGGGAGGGAGTAAATGGAGGGCAACGACATGATGAATGAAAAGCGGAAGCCTGAGTGCAGCACCAGTTTAATCGTTCTTCATAATTAGAGATCATAGCTGGAACACTGAAGCAGCTAAAGGAACTTAAAGATTAAAGCAAGTGTTCAGTCTTTTTCTCCCAGCAGAAATCTATAGGGCCTAAGTACGATTTTGGCCCAAATCTCTCACTCACGCATTCCAGAAAAGGCCAGTCACACGCTGCAGGGCCAAGCTTTAAATTGCTGCAATTAGCGAGGTTCGTATAGGGGTATTGGTCTCCAAAGGCTGTGCATTACACTTCAGTGGCTTTATGATTAGGCTATTATGTAGGGATCATGTTGAAATTTCATACAGAGTGTAATATTTGAGGTGATCTGTGTGATAACACTTGAGCTAATCCAAAGGCAAGTATTTTATCAAGAATCTGCAAACAAAGAAAGAAAAAAATAACAAGAAATCCTTGAAAGTTAGTGTAAACCAAATAAGATATTAAAAGGAGATCCTATTCCCTTTGTATTACAGTAGATTGACCGAATGATCAATTCCAAAGTTTGTGAACTTTTGTAATAGTAAATAGTCTGTTAAAGTGTTTTTTTGTGTATGAACCACTTATATCTTGCTTACTGTAAGACTTATGGGATCTAAATCAAACACATCCTAAATAAATTGGGGGGAAACTTAAAGAACTTTGAAATGTTCCTTTTTTCTGGTTGATGCTGCTTTTTCTCAGCCAGAATCTCAAGAACCCCAAATAAAAGTGGTCAAAACAAAAAAGCTAAGCTGTGTTGTAGCCTAAATACCCACCCTGTAAAATGATGAGGGCAAATTTTAGACTTTTTTTAAGGCTGTGCAGAAACATCTACATTTCTGAGCTATGACCAATCTGTTCTGATGCCTTTCTGCTGCTGGTTGAGTGAAGCCAGTTGCACAGTGGTCCTTCAGAAGTAGCATAATTCAAGATGGACTTGACATGCTGGATCCATCATCGTCCATCTTAATGATGTCGCAATAAATGCAGAAAAAGGTTTGAAACCTGATTCGAGTAGCTTGGACTTGGGCAATAAGAAGGATGGTTTTATTTAGTCAGATAAATCTGGATATTGGTTGAACACATCCCATGTAACCAGGATGGCCAGCAGGAGGGCAGAGGAAGGTTTAAGGTATCGAAGGGGAGACTGCTGCGTGTTATCCGGTCTTTAGAGAAGGTGATTGGCTGCAATCTTCCATCACTCCAGGATCTTTACGCCTCCAGGACTCTAAGGCGTGCAGGGAAGATTGTGGCT